ATTGTTTAAGGTCCTACTGTGAACTTTAGATACTAATTCCTATGTCGATTGTCCATGTGCAATGTTGTCTCATTTCAAAGTTTCTTATCTTGATATTGTAACTACAGTAATTCAAGGATACATAAAGAATAGTACAATTGACGATTTTTTGGTTGATCAGAAAAAAAATTAGATTACACTGCACTATTTTATTGAAAAGAGTACAGCGAGCGTTTGCAAAGGATGAAAAATGAAAACTACGAAAAAAGGATAGATCTTTTAATGTTTACCCTTCAGTCTATGTAAATGTTAAAAACATATCAATCAAAATCCCTCTTTACGGGATAGTTAAATCGTATTCGATTTGCCCTAGTTCCATTTTGATTTGCCGTCATTCTAAAGTATAATCTTTTAAGTCACTTGATTTGATTAATCGGTCAAACTTTTTGTTTCTATTGGTTTTAAAGGGGGCATTGGCTGTTTATGTTCATCGATTTGACTCAAATTTTTATATTTGATTAATAACATACTCAAAAGTACATCCAAATAATAAAAAACCTAAAATAAACAATTTACAAAGCATGGGCTCGATAATATGTATCATCGTTTCTAGTGTATTTTAGTCTATACGCCATCTAATTAGCTATCAAGTTTACATACGAAGACCGCCGACGGTAATATAAGCGATATAAACATAAATATAGATTTAAATAGATAGATAGCGAACTCATGCAATTGGATTTTTCTAGGCCTCTTTAATTTCATATAATAGTTTTAATAGTTTTAAAATATATGTTAATCATCGATCGTTTTTACCTGCATAGGTTTTGTGGTTCGAATCAGTCAGTCAAATGAGTAACCTTTGTTTCGCTTTCAATAATGATATTCTTTTTAATCTAATACATGAACACACATAATTCATGCGTAATCCATCTCCAGCTAAGGGGATAAGGTGAAGGTCACATGAATACGGATTCAATGAGGTCGAACTACTCATATACAAGTGAATAATTCATCATTGATATTTCTTAGCTTATTTTGACAAAATTGAACCATACTTGCTGCTAAAAGCAAATTATTTTTTTTCTCACTATTTTACTTTTATTAATGATTGAAACAAACATCATATCTAACTTTTTTATAAATCTCGTAGCTAGTGCCCTTTTAAATGAAAAAAAAAAGCAAAATAAAAACTCAAATTAAATTCCAATCGGAATTTCCCTAGTCAGATGGAAAATCAAAGGTTCAAACACATCAAACGAATAAAAAATAACTGTCATATTTCGGACTTGGTACAGACATTTCCTGATGCAGAAAATGTTGGATTTAACCTGGTTATATAGCTTGCTGACTCTTCTTTTTATACACCTCAGATGTACAGTTATCACTGGTGAAAAATTTTGTTAATGTTCGAGTGAGGAACACATTAAACATAGTTTCAATTGTCGAACAGAAGGGAACCTAATCGAGTTGATGTTTATAGTTCTTGTTGTGCATAGGTCAGATGTATAAGTGTTATTGGAAGTATAGTGTATGCTTAACATAATCATCATGCTGTTGATATAAGCACAAATACATATGGTTGACCTATCTCTTTTCAGATCTGAGCTTCAATGATAAGTCTTGTGTAGACGAAACGCGCATCTGGCGTATCAAATTATAAGCCTTGTACCTTTGATAACTATTTACACCACTGGGTTGATGCCACTGCAGGTGGACGTTTCGTCCCCGAGGGTATCACTAGCCCAGTAGTCAGCACTTCGGTGTTGACATGAATATCAATTATATGGTCATTTTTATAAATTTACTGTTTGCAAAAGTATGAATCATTCGAAACACTAAGGATGTTCTTATCCCAGGCATAGATTACCTTAGCCGTATTTGGCACAACTTTTTGGAATTTTTGGTTCCTCTATGCTCTTCAACTTTATACTTGTTTGACTTTCTATTTTGATCTGAGCGTCACTGATGAGTCTTATGAAGACGAAACGCGCGTCTAGCGTATCAAATTATAAGCCTGGCAATAATCTTTTTTTTTTGTAGAAACAGTTTTGTAATTCGAAAATTTAGTATATACAAATTTTGGAAAAACCTGCAAACTCTTGATTTTCGTCTCATCATAGACATAGAGGAAAACCCTTGGTTTCAAAGAATAAAGTTGTCATACTAAAACAGAGAAAGGAAACATTTAAGGAAATTACAATGTTTTCACAACATTTTTCAACTAGATTTAAGCTATTTTGGAGTAAGTTACCGTGTGTGTAAATACTCAAGATTTTTTTCATGTTCCTAGTAAATACACAACAACTTAAAGTATGAATTTAAGAGGCCAAGATTAATTCAGTAATATGCATTGATACATTTTCTTTGACCTTAAACATAACTTTTCTCATGGTATTATCAATCCTCTACACAACATACATGTAATTATTTCCCAATTTGACAGTTGTCAATACTAGTGATACAGATCTGAACAATTAATTTTGTTTTCTACAGGTTCGTATCTAAATAACTATTTTTCAATGATGTTTTATTCATCGTTGATCAATGTCAATATGTGTTAACAAGTTTTAAACAGGACATGAATTATAAATCATTTTAATTATTTAATTTATAAAGTTCGATAAAGGATTGTTATGTTAAAAAAATCAATTTGTTGCGCTAATTATATGAACATGCTTTGTCATCATTTTTTGTACAAATTCTTCCTTAAATTTTATGAGAGAAATATTATAATTAATGTAAAACATTGTAAACAAAAGGCCAAACAGGAAATCAATTATTAATCATAATAGCTGTTTCAAAAGGAAAAACGTTCGCTTGAAGACTATTAGATTAAAAAAATTAATATGTTACGTGAATTATTTAAACAGACTGACTTTTTTGTCAGAATATTTATTATCGCGATGGATTGAATTGATCTCTCCATTGGTTGCAAGGCGAAACAAGAAAACTACCATGCAAGAAGACAATCATAGAAATCAAAAAGTCAAATCACCTTGATGCATATGCATGATACTCCACAAAAAGAAAGAACTGTCACATGATGACACATCAATTTTTAAGCAATGAAAAAACCAACAAAATTGTAAAGCAAAAATTAAATTTAAGTGCAAATACCCCCACGTCATACAGTTTTGTTGTACATTTTTTCAGAAGACAACTGATAAAGGTACAGAACAAGCGGGACTTAATATCAGCTCATTGAGTACTGTCAGTTTCCTTTGGTTTTACTGTGAAACGTTACTGTTTGTTATTGTATTGATTGTACATGTGATTTTGAAAATTTATCATTGTATGTTAGACAACGCTTTATATTATTTCATATGAATGTTAAGTATCGATAGACTGGTTGCTGTATTATTGACCGTTCGTTTCGAGAACTTGCTAACACAGTAAATGTTGAAAAGACAATATAAGGAATATGAGAGGGTGTGAACCTTCTCTGGTAAACTAGATGGTTTCAGCAGATGATTTTGTTGAATTAGTCTATTTGAAGTTTTTTCCTACTTTTTCCTACCATTAACACTAGCATGAGCAGTATAATTCGTTATCTTAATTAGTGAATATCGAACATGACCTCCATTTTTTTCATTATTAACCATGGTAACAACTAATTTGTTTTTAAAACATCTGTCAAATTTAAGGATGGAAAAAACAACGGAAACAGTGAAAATCGGCGATATTGAACTTGACCTCAATTTGCCATCAGTATCAAAATATTCAATTCAAAAAGCATTGGTTGAACGATTCGTATGTCATTGCATGAAATCTGTTACAGTCGCCCACCACCTGCTCATACTTCACCAAACTAATAGCTTTATTTTTTCCTACGTAAAACCCAATGCGGATGGTATATAATTTGAATCGGAGTGAATAAAACTGCTAAGAACAATTGGATAGCTAGTGTGGTCCTAAATTGGTCCTCCTCTGTATGTGTTGGATTGTGAAATGTATTTGTACTCTAGGTCTAATGGACAATAATTTTTCAATCGCCAGATTTCGATTCTTAGATTTCAAACAGACAACCATATGAAGACATACTCTTTCGATCAGTTTATTTTAGGTCTAGAGCAAGCATGACGGTACCTGTTGGTAGTCCTTTGTGTATTAATGATCGTTGTCATTTTGCATAATTTTTTTGTTACTTATTTTAACAACGGACAAGGACTTCTTTAAACTGAGTTTTACGGTGCGTATTGTTTTGTTTGTAGAAGACCAATCGGTAGCCTTGGATGTTTGGCTCATTGGTCTGGTTGTTCTCTTTGACACATTTTCCGTTTCCAATCACATGTCTATCCTTACACAGTTCAAATTTGAGTTTTGAAAGAAATCTATAAAGGTTGAACTGATATACAGCAAAATATAAAGCTTTTTAAAATGATATCCAACTCTATATAGCCAAATGATCTCTATGGAAATGAGATGTGGCAATTCTTATACAACTGCAGACCAAATATCATTAACCTACCACTTACGGTTTCCCATAAACTGACCTAAGCAAACTTAAACATGTTTACTCAGCAAAAGTTTCAAAGTCAACATACTCTCAAACTAATTCATTTTTGACAAAAACACTGCTGCTGCAAACAGCATACCTATGTCTTGCATTTTTTACTCCCTCAAGGCGAAACAAAAATATGTTTTGTTTTCTATTTATGTAGCCTTCCTTGTAAACTCTTCAAGGGGAAGCTAGTGATCAATAGATTTACTGTAAATATAGGTTTCAGTAATGCAAATACTTGGACTTGGCGAGTATCACATCAATTAGAACTTGTATTGTGAACGATTTTGATATTTGATACATAATTATATTGTATGAATATTTTTCTAAAATTGAAATAATTAAAATATTAAATACCAGTATCTCATTTTATCCCCATCTACAAAAATCGCAACAATTAATACATGCAATAATTCCTAAAATTTACAATAATTCATTAAACAAAGTAAAAGAATAAAGTTCCTAAAATTTACAATAATTCAGTAAACAAAGTAAAAGAATAAAGTAACATTGAATGTATATTTCAGCATTTTTATTATTATCTTTTAACAGATAACACATTTTTCTCATGATTGTTCATATAACAAGGATACATAATGACAGACACTGGAGATCAATGTGTGTACAAGACCAACACCACAACATATTCAATATAACCGTGATTCCATCAAGCTACATAGAAAGTAAAACCCTTTCTGTTTGGGTTACTCACAAGATATTCTAATACTCCATAATATAACTGTAAAATATTGTGAACTTAGAATTACTCTAAGCAGTTATGTGATTGGTAGGTTCAAATAGGAAACAAATATTTAACAAGTTATTCAAGATGAAAGTATAAGCATTTGGAAAAAAATTGCATTAACAAATATTTTACTCTAAACGTAAAATCAAGATTGACAAAACTTTCGTGCAATAAACGAGAATCTTCTAGTTCTTGCCAAATACTTCTTCAGTTAGATAAAACATATGATAAATTGATTTTTTTTTTAAATACAGGCATCATTTTTGATTTCTTTAAATTTTGCACACATATTAATAGGCATCAAGTTTTGTTTCTAGCATTTTTGGGAACCAAGTTCAGTATCTGTAATGTAGGCATTTGTCCAAAAAGAAATAATAGAAGTATATTCCCCCCCTCCCCTCATCATTTCAGTAAATTTACTGTTTGTTGTAACAAACTTTGGAATCTTTGTTACCAAAGTTTCGGAAGTTTGGTTTTTCAGTTCTTCCCCTTGTCATCTGGGTAATATTATATTACCGTACCCACAATGCCAAACTCTGGTTTTCATTATCTTTGATGTGGTCATGGGTTGAACAGTAATTACTTAATCATTGATTATACTAAATAAATAATTGTTCTATCCTATGACAATATAGTATCAATTTTTTGGCCAGTAAAAAGATAATAACTTAAGTACATAATCAAAATTTTTACCGACTTCTATAGCATAGCACTTAAAAGTATCTTGTTTCGAAATAAAATTCATGGACAATGAAACGAAAGGCAAAAGTTAACAAGACCTAAATGAAAACAATCAGCATCAAAGATTAATATTTCAGTAAAAATATGGAAAGCTAAGCAAACTGATATTTAGTGGTTTGCTGAAGATATCTGCAACATAGCAACATAGCAAAGCATGACTAAGGTTACTAATCGCCACTTATGTATAAAGAGACTTACTTTATCAATACATTTGATACTTTAATTAACATAAGTTCTTTTCCATAGAACATTGGAATCAATTGATCTCTTATTCTACATCTATTTATGTCTTCCAATGCAAAGCAATCAATTTTTACAAGTTCATAGAAATTCAATGTTTTATAGCTTTGGTAAATGAATCTCCCTTCTAATAACATATTATTGCTGATGTTTTGACCATTTAATATGTTTGATGGAAAATACAGTAGTGGCTCAATCTGAATTAAACTAAACTGATGATGTAAGACTTGTCTGACTAAATGACAGTCTATGGATGAATGAACAGCCGGATGGACAAGGTTATTGCAATAAATCCCCCACTTAGAGAGCGAGTGTATAATTGGTATTTCATCTTAACAATTTGATAAACTCTCTTATATATATGCAAAGTAATACCCCAATTTCTAATTTCGATGTTAGGTTATTTGTTGATGGGCTGCTATCACAATAAATATATCTATTCATATCTTTTAACTCCTAGGAATTGCCTACATTACAGAGCCTTATATAAATGATGTATTGGTGTAAATTTACACACACATATATGTATATATATATATATAATACTCATTACACAGACTTGCACATTTTCTGGTGAAAATTATAGCTCATATTCTTTCTTTCATGTCTTTCAATCAATATGAATTAAACATACATATAAATTTCTACAAATTATTTGAAACATAATCCTCCACTTAAACATAAGCAAGATAATAAAGGCCCACATTCATGAAAGAGGAATCTGCTAATTAATATAAAATTCAGAAATCTATGTTAGCATAAGCTATTGAGGACTTAACATGTTTGAGAAGATTTGTTTTATCCAATAAAACAATATTCAATTATTAATTATTGTGAAGTTCATTCTGTTGCTGTAAAGGATAGAAAAAAAGTGATCTCATGAATCTTCATATTTTTTTTCCTAGTAATATTTCAAATAGTTTATGTATAAAACATTTTTACTACAATGACATAAACATGTAACACAAAACACAAATATGCATAGAATTGATGTTTTACGGCCATTATTTCCTACAGCTTAACAAAATAATACATAGAACATTCCACAACAAATAAGTGTTTGAACAATGCATTAAAAACTACATTCTCTTTTATGTTTCATTGCAAGGCCACCTACCCCTCATTATATGGACTGCAAAAAAGCTATTGAAGAAAACATTTATATATGTAATTCTAGCATCTGCTAGTAGAACAGCAGTTCTCAACCAAATGTTGCACTGAGAAAAAACCCATCATTTCCAGTAACTATCTGGTTCAAAAATTGGTTGTACAGTAGGCTGCAATGTTTTCTTGTTGTTATGAATTGGTTTTGAAGAACAAAGCTATATTGAATAAGTAATGGTAAGTTCAAAATGTATGTCTCAAAAATAGTTCCATTAGTTACTCCTCTTTCACAGTGCTTTCCCTTGGTACCAACTTTAGTTAATGGAATAAGCCTAATGTCCAAAACAAAAGAATGTTAAGTCTGATTATAACTAATACATAAATAAATACATCAGAAATATAAACCTATTACTAGTTCAAATTTGAAATTAATAGATTTTTGTTTGATTAACATCTATAAGCAAGTATCTAATGAATGTTAGGAGAAAAACATCAATTCTTATAACGAAGGCATGGTAAAGTGTGTGACCCAGGATGAATCTTGGGAACTGTCCCATGGAAAAGAGGAAATGTTTGATAATGCAAAAATACATTACATAAGTTTTGTGCTAATTATGCAAAAAGAACATAAAGGACAGTAATTACCATTTGACTAAGACATAATGATACCAAGAACTGGAAATGACAGCTATTTTACTTCAGCTTTATATATGGTTGAGAACTAATGGCTACTAGTACATGTAGTATGCAACATATTAAAAGAAGCATGAAGATATTATGAAAACTTATCACAATTTGGTGTTTATGTATAAATGTAATTTCACCAATCCAATTATAACTAAATATACAAAAATAACTTTTCTACTACAACAACTAAATACATTAACTTAAACTTAACTTTTAACAAAATTATACACAATAATAGTAATAAACTACTACAAATCAGATAAAAAGTACAAAAATAGTAATTTGAGGTCAGGGTTCCATTTCCAGTTATACAAATTCCAAGCATAGATATATCGTTCATACTGTAAATATAGTTTGGTATGGAAAGCTGATAGTGCCATCATTACCAGTAATATATTGTGTAAAGGTCGGTTCTTTCAAGAATATAGATAAAAATTCAAAACCTCTTGACTAGATATATTTATATTTTAATTCTTAAACATAAGGCCAATCATCTTGTATAATTATCTCCACATAAACAAATCTAGATTTCCTTTGCTTGTGAAAAAAAATGTCATCAATTTTAGTCTTTTGTCATATCTAAATCATTGCTGGTGTTTTACTTATAATATTGAGAATTTTGTGCTTTGATTGTAGTTTTTGAATAGTTTCTTTCTTATTCATTCCCAATTTTCAGATTAACACTTACAGTTGTATCACGTAATAATCTAAATGGTGAAATAACATATTCACTAACACATCTGTGGCACTTTTATACTTCCATACATTGGCAAGTTCAAATAATTTACATATATATCTCTCTCCAGTCTTCATATGACTCAACTTTAAAACTTGTATAATGAAAAACACATACTATAAAAATCTATATAATTGGTTATGGTTGATAAAATAAGTATAACATATACACTGTACGTCATCCCTTACAAAATTCAAACAATGAAGCCCAAGACCATTACTTATCATGCTTATCAGTAAAATGATTTCTTTTGAACCTTTTGCAGAACACTTTCTGTTTAGTAAATCTTCTACATTCATATAACCTTCTTATTATGTGCCTTTAATTCAAATGACAGATTCAATATAAAATTTATCTTTAATCATAATAATCTATTGTTTTTTTCTGTATTTTTTACTGTTTATATATATAATTGAAATTCTGGGGGGGGGGGGGGGGGGGGGACAAACACACAAAAAATATCCAAGTTCCCTTTCAAAACTTCATTCATACATTTTTGAACAAGGACACATGAATGATATATAAAATGGTTTAGTACATAGTATATGTGAATGTTTGATGTTATTATACTTCAGGCTATTCCATTTAAGTGAATGGGGGAGGGCAATAATTCATTTTTAGACATGGAGTGGGTCTTTATGGTTGTACCTGTTTGTCCGTTTGATGTATGTACAACTTCTTAAAGACGGTGTGTTAGTTTTTAGGTGTATTTTGAAAGTCTCTTCCTTCCCTCCCTCATCCATTTTTATGGAATAGCATTAATAATAAATAGCACTTTATGAGATATTTGAACAATCCTACTGATTAGTAGAGTATGATCAAATGGATTTGTTTTATCTTTAATATCAATAATTATGTTCTAAAACACAGCAAGACGGTTAAAAAAAATCATTTTAGGGGTAAAAAAGAGAACACATATTTTCTCACACACTTTATTTCGTGTTAAGTTTTTTCTAGTCAATTTCTGACCAGATCAGGATATTTTGTTCAAAAAAGAAAAAGACAAAATGTGAATAATATGGTTGAGATAGAGAGGTTCTTTTTTTGAATAAATTCTTGTATTGCCTGCTTTTAAAACATTGCTTAATCAATTACACTAAATTTTTAAGTATCTTGAATCATTCACAAAACAAACATTGATGAGGTAGGGAGGCTCATTATATTTTATTTTTGATACCATGTTTTTTTTAATATTAGTTAATCATGTTCAACATGAACATTTTGTTTTAAACCTATGTCAAAATTTCATTTGTAAAAACAAGAGTACAGGTATAGGGAATGAAGAATTCAAGGATTGTGCTGATAACTGCTGATGTGACATGCATTGGGAACATGTATGGGTGCCTGAAAAGCTAATATTTGTTTTGGCCTAAGTAAATACATAATGAGAAGTTCAAATTAAATATAAACAAGCTAAGGAACAAACATTTCACAAGATCAGACATGTCCAACAAAAAATAGGAAACATGTAAAATTTAATAAGAAAATAATATAGCACCTTAAGTTCAAGGTCAAAGTTGAATACTTGGACAACATACAGTTTTTATCACAGTATGACTCAGATCATCTAAATAAATGACCAAAATGTTTTTCATTTAGAAATAAAACAGTGACATGACCATATATATAATACCGTGAAGAACTGACATTCAGTGAATTGGTTAGTATGGTGTAAAAATATTTACCACTAAACAAAATCATATTATTCAATCAATGTGCTCTATATATGGGTTAGATTCAATTCAAATTTCATGTAGGTAGTCCTTTTAGGTTATTTCATCAAATTAATTAATCATAAAATTATATACGTTTATTTTTTTTCTGTTGTTTAAAAATAATAGATTTAATATACATTTATTTTCAATGTAAAGAAATGTCAAGTTTGAAGTTACTGTCCAGGAAACTTTTTTTAACTTATCCAACATGTCCAAAGAGTTTCTTTTAAGTCCTATAAAAAGAATCAACCCATAGATAAATCTTTCATAACAAACTATAAATGGAGACAGTTTCATTCCTTCCTCCTGGGAAACTTATAGTTTTAACCTTGGTGTTATAAGACCAATGTATTATAGGGCACCTGCATACAGTTTTTCCTTCTAATTAGTGCCTATCAATTACAGGATTGATTGTCATTAATTTCCCTATGAAACCTATCAAACTAGACTGTAACTTTATCACTGTATACTAGTATGTAATTTAATCTAACGTAAGATAAATGAACACTTCTGCTCAAAATCTTCTGCAAAATATTTGATGATTTATAATAGCTAAGCCTTATATCCTCCTTAAAGGTTTTATAATACAGCCTTGAGCATTATTAAACAATAAATAAATGCCATTTGGGAAATATCTACATCAAAAACATCCTTCTTTCCAACTGTCATCATGACGAGAAGAAGACGCTGATCTAGGGGCAGGTAATCCACTTCTGAAATAAGAAAACATAATGAAAATAACATCCGCAAAATCAAAATGTTGAACAAGTAAGAAGACTTTTTCATTGATTTCTTTGACACATAAAACAGTCACTGTTTAATTTCAGAGTTAAACTAAATGCCAAAGTATGTTGCCATTTAAGAATGTTTACTGCTGAAAAACAAAATAGCAACATACTCATAAATGATATATTTTTTTGAGAGATAATACAAGCATTTGAAAATATAGAATTTTTGACCACAGTTGTATCTGGATACATATTTTAGTTGAAATGTATGGAATAAATGAAGGCATGACTGTATAAAAAAAACATTAAAGCTATCAAGCCAAATCAAGTTGAAGAGCATTGAAGACCTAAAATGCAAAGGCACAACTCCTATAAGGGGTCAATTTAACTTATTTGTAGATCTTGTTCAGGTCATTTCTACTATTTAAAATTTCTTTCTATTGTTGTTTTCAAGATATTAAAAAACCTTGAAATTTGCTAAACATTTTCATTCCAGAGGCAATAACTCTGAAAATTCCACAACAGTGAATTTGCTGTAACTGCTTTAGTTTTTGAGATAAAGGTCAAGAACTGCATTTTACCCCTATGTTTAATTTAAGGCAAATGTGGCCATGTTTGTTGATGAATCAAGTTCCCAGATACAATTTTTAAACATGATTCCCTCAGGAAAATTTGGGTAAAGTTTGGTAACATTGGACTCAGTAGTTTCATCAGAAGAGAAGATTTTTAAAAACTCTGACGACGAGTGATGACAAAAGCTCATATGGCCTTTGAGGTAAGTTGAACTAAAAAGCTAATCCTGTACCTTCTGACAGGAGTTGCAAGCTTGCTATTTCCAGGCCGTGGTATAGTCCGTCTAGATGGTGTTGGAAGACCAGTTCTTTGAGGTGAAGGCCCTCTAGGACTAGGCTGTCTTAAACCACTAACATTCGGTGATCCTGGTCGACCGGGTGCTTGAAGGCGTGAATATTGACGCACTTTTGGAGATACAGTTTGTTCATATTCATCACTACCGCCAGAGGAATAATTGTCTAGATAAGGGTCACTTCCATATTGTCCAGATGTCTGTGGTAATCTTGAAACATTTTGGTAACTTCTTCTTAAACCTGGATTTTCTGAAATAGTACAGTCACATAAACATTGTACATTTTATTCAAATTTTTGCTTTTTTTTTCTGTGACATTCAATGTAAGAAATATGCTAGCTTATCCTTTATTTGTAAAATTAAGCAAAACAAATTCTGCTTACAAAGGAGTTGTATACTACTGTATCTTTGTTGACTAGAAAGACGACAATTTGCCCTACAACATCCTCTCATTGAAAAATGCAGCGTCAAGCAATATTGGGTAAGGAAATGCACATTTCTAACTTTGATACATCGGTCTGTCAAGTGTGTAGAGATTTGGAATATTGACTGATCAAAATTGGCCAAATTTGTTTAGGATACTTGATAATTCCTGGCAGACTGAAACATATGTTAAAAATTCGTAAGGGTTCTGCGGAACCCAGTGACTCGCCAATTTTGCTGTTAAAAGCAGGCTAAACAAAAATGAGGAAAAAAATCAATAAAAATATTCCTTTAGATACTATCTTTTGATTGTAAGAAGCTTCTGTCAAAGTTTGATAATCCAGGATAGTTTATGAATCTAATAAATGTTTTAAAAACTTTAACTGCAGACTGTATTTAATGTTTAACTGGAAGAAAAACTAAGTCCATTTATAAGTAAAGTACGGATAAACAGGTACAAAATTTTAACAAAATTTCCTTCTAGATACTAGCTTTTGATCATTAACAAGCTTCTGTCCAAGTTTGGTACAAATCCAGGATATTTTAAGAAAGTTATTAAAATTTTAAAAACTTTAACCACAGAGTGAATGTATTGTTTCCTGGCGGAAAAACTAAGTCCATTTATAAGTAAAATACGGAAAAACTGAAATTTTTTTTTTAACAAATTTACTTCTGGATACTATCTTATGATCATAAACAAGCTTCTGTCCAAGTTTGGTACAAATCCAGTATAGTTTAAGAAAGTTATTAAAATTTTAAAAACTTTAACCACAGAGTGAATGTTATGTTTCCCGGCAGAAAAAACTATGTCCATTTACAAGTGAAATACGCAAAAACAGGAATTTTATTTTTACAAAATTTACTTCTGGATACTATCTTATGATCATAAACAAGCTTCTGTCCAAGTTTGGTAGAAATCCAAGATAGTTTAAGAAAGTTATTAAAATTTCAAAAACTTTCACAGAGTGAATATTTGTGGATGATGCCGACGACGACGTAATGTAGGATCGCTATGTCTCGCTTTTTCGACTAAAGTAGAAGGCTCGACAAAAACATATATATACCTTATAAACTGTAGTAGTGGTAATTAATGAGTACTGTTAGATAAAAATTCATCTGTCCATCATATAAGAACTTCCAGTATGTCATGTATGTAGATGTAAAAATTGTTTGTGTAGTTATAAACCATTATATTTTAGGAAATGTATCTCTTGCATTACATCTACCTTATATCCTGTTTGTTAAAACTTCAGCACTTATTTTCTGATTCTGTTTCTTAGTTTATTTTTATCAAACTTATGGTGATCATTTAAAACAAATGTTGTCTATCGTTTGTCTAAAATCTATAAGGCAGGGCTAAGTATTATTGGCAAATTTTCCCAATAACATGAATAAGGATTGCATGCCATTCCAGTTGCTGTTTGTTTTATCAACTTCTATCAAAATCACCTGAACACAAATTACATCTGTATATTTGATACCATGGTTACGAATCTCAGACAGTTTAAGCTTACAAGTACTATCAGCATGATAAGATGCTTTAAAAATAATAATGTTAACTTATTACAAAATGTTTTCGTGGCACAAAGGGAAGTAAATCTTAAATTAAAGGTAGAGAGTAACTTACCTTGATTATTATTATAATTATTTAAATACTGACTACTAGCATGTGGACTGTCTGGAGGACTACTGGCATCAGAACCTAAACTATTACTCTGACTTAAATGTCTCTCACCTGAAACAAAAATGAACTTGTCATTTGTAGTTACTAGAGAAGACAGATACATGTAGAGAAGGAAAGACAAATGTGTCTGTGGTTTGAGCTTTTATTCTGGAAAGACGTCTTTCATTTAAAGTAAAAATGAAATATTAATTTACTTTTTTTTCACACACACAGAGAGAGAGAGAGAGAGAGAGAGAGAGAGTGTGTGTGTTTGGAAGAAAAGTTTGAATACTCAACAAAGAATGAAAGTATATCATGTATGAAACTATAAGCCTTAGACAACAGATAATGACAAACAAATTTCATATATGTACAAACATTAGTTCCATGCCTTATCTAAGATATATAATCGGGGAAAAAAATACTGTAGAAAGTTCTTTCAGAAATACAATTAAACTGTTACATTATTTGGCTTTGACCTTAATGGACAGAACAGAATTAAATTTTCTACTTTTTTTTCACTTGCAAAATATAAAATATGCATAATATACACAAAGCCTTTCCAATGAATAGAAAGCTGTTGTTATGGTTATAAGAGCATAAAAAGAGCTTTAATGTCTAGTAAATTAGGAAATCAATCCATTTGATTTTATGTCTATTACAAAAAATATTTGGGTCATGTAACAATATTCATTTATAATTTTCCTCGGAGTTCGGTATTTTTGTTATTTCACTTTTCATATCTTTACTATTGTTATCATGAATGTTTCCATAAGAACTATATTTAATCAACGTTATTGAGTCTGGCAAAACCATGTCTTAATTTGGTTAACTTTTTTAAAAACTTTTTTCATATATACATGACAAATCATTGACTTATTAAGTAGGTACACATGTACACTTGAAAAAAGCCTGCACATGCCTCAAGTTACCTTGACAATACAGAACAGTATTTGTACATGTTAATTACAGATTGGTTATATGTATGTAATGTATAGGCAATACTTTAACTAGAGGCTCTCAAGAGCCTGTGTCGCTCACCTGATTCTACTTTGGTTTTGGAAATCATGTAAAAATAGATTAAAATAATAACAGATACCCTAATAATGAGTGAGGCCAAATTTGGTTTAATATTGGTCCTGTAATTTAATAAAAAATCCTGGTGGCCATCTTGAACAGTAAATCGGCAACAAAGTAGCAACACTTAATCAGCACCTCATAAGAAACATTTATGCCATGTTTTGGTTTCATTCCATTCAGTGCACCTCTAGAAGAAGCATTTGTATGTATTTCCCATAGGGTCTTATGTTAAAGGAAGTCCCCCCATTGGCGGCCATCATGGATGAAGGATCAGCTTCAAAGTAACAAAACTTAGTCAGCACCTCATAAGGAACATTCATGCCATGTTTGGTTTCAATCCATTCAGTATGTGGTTCTCTAAAAGAAGACATTCGTATGTATCATCCATAGGGTCCTTTGTTAAACATTGTCCCCATCTGGCAGCCATCATGGATGAAGGATCAGCTTCAAAGTAACAACACTTGGTCAGCACCTCAAAAGGAACATGCATGCCATGTTTGGTTTCATTCCATTCAATGGTTCTCTAAAAGAAAACATTTGTACGTATTTCTCATAGGGTCCTATGTTTAACTAATTCCTCAGCTGGCGGCCATCTTAGATTATGGATCGGCTTCATAGTAACAACACTTGGTCAGCACCTCATAAGGAACATTCATGCCATGTTTGGTTTCATTGCATTCAGTGGTTCTCTAAAAGAAGACATTTGTATGTATTTCCCATAGGGTCCTATATTAAACTAAGTCCCCCGCTGGCTGCCATCTTGGATGATGGATCAGCTTCAAAGTAACAACACTTGGTCAGCACCTCATAAGGAACATTCATGCCATGTTTGGTTTCATTGCATTCAGTGGTTCTCTAAAAGAAGACATTTGTATGTATTTCCCATAGGGTCCTATATTAAACTAAGTCCCCCGCTGGCTGCCATCTTGGATGATGGATCAGCTTCAAAGTAACAACACTTGGTCAGCACCTCATAAGGAACATTCATGCCATGTTTGGTTTCATTGCATTCAGTGGTTCTCTAAAAGAAGACATTTGTATGTATTTCCTATAGGGTCCTATGTTAAACTAAGTCCCCCGCTGGCTGCCATCTTGGATGATGGATCAGCTTCAAAGTAACAACACTTGGTCAGCACCTCATCAGGAACATTCATGCCATGTTTGGTTTCATTGCATTCAGTGGTTCTCTAAAAGAAGACATTTGTATGTATTTCCCTTAGGGTCCTATGTTAAACTAAGTCCCTCTCTGGCGGCCATCTTGGATGATGGATCGGCTTCAAAGTAACAACACTTAGTCAAGACCTCATAAGGAACATTCATGCCATGTTTGGTTTCATTCCATTCAGTGGTTCTCTAAAAGAAGACATTTGTATGTATTTCCCATAGGGTCCCATGTTAAACTAAGTCCCCCGCTGGCATCCATCTTGGATTATGGATCGGCTTCAAAGTAACAACACTCGGTCAGCACCTCATAAAGAACATTCATACCATGTTTGGTTTCATTCCATTCAGTGGTTCTCTAAAAGAAGACATTTGTATGTATTTCCCTTAGGGTCCCATGTTAAACCAAGTCCCCCGCTGGCGGCCATCTTGGATTATGGATCGGCTTCAAAGTAACAACACTCGGTCAGCACCTCATAAGAAACATTCATGCCATGTTTGGTTTCATTCCATTCAGTGGTTCTCTAAAAGAAGACATTTGTATGTATTTCCCATAGGGTCCTATGTTAAACTAAGTCCCCCGCTGGCGGCCATCTTGGATTATGGATCGGCTTCAAAGTAACAACACTCAGTCAGCACCTCATAAGGAACATTCATATCATGTTTGGTTTCATTCCATTCAGTGGTTCTCTAAAAGAAGACATTTGTATGTATTTCCCATAGGGTCCTATGTTAAACTAAGTCCCCCGCTGGCGGCCATCTTGGATTATGGATCGGCTTCAAAGTAACAACACTCGGTCAGCACCTCATAAGGAACATTCATACCATGTTTGGTTTTATTCCGTTCAGTGGTTCTATAAAAGAAGACATTTGTATGTATTTCCCATTGGGTCCAATGTTAAACTAAGTCCCTCACTGGCGGCCATTTTGGATGATGGAACAGCTACAAAGTAACAACACTTGGTCAGCACCTTGTAAGGAACATTCATGCTATGTTTTGTTACATTCCATTCAGTGGTTCTCTAAAAGAAGTCATTTGTATGCATTTCCCATAGGGTCCTATGTTAAACTAAGTCCCCTGCTGGCGGCCATCTTGGATGATGGATCGGCTACAAAGTAACAACACTTGGTCAGCACCTCCTAATGAACATTCATGCTATGTTTTTTTTCATTCCATTCAGTGGTTCTCTAAAAGAAGTCATTTGTATGCATTTCCCATAGGGACCTATGTTAAACTAAGTCCCTCACTGGCGGCCATTTTGGATGATGGAACAGCTACAAAGTAACAACACTTGGTCAGCACCTTGTAAGGAACATTCATGCTATGTTTTGTTTCATTCCATTCAGTGGTTCTCTAAAAGAAGTCATTTGTATGCATTTCCCATAGGGTCCTATGTTAAACTAAGTCCTCCGCTGGCGGCCATCTTGGATGATGGATCGGCTACAAAGTAACAACACTTGGTCAGCACCTCCTAATGAACATTCATGCTATGTTTTGTTTCATTCCATTCAGTGGTTCTCTAAAAGAAGTCATTTGTATGCATTTCCCATAGGGTCCTATGTTAAACTAAGTCCCTCACTGGCGGCCATTTTGGATGATGGAACAGCTACAAAGTAACAACACTTGGTCAGCACCTTGTAAGGAACATTCATGCTATGTTTTGTTACATTCCATTCAGTGGTTCTCTAAAAGAAGTCATTTGTATGCATTTCCCATAGGGTCCTATGTTAAACTAAGTCCCCCGCTGGCGGCCATCTTGGATGATGGATCGGCTACAAAGTAACAACACTTGGTCAGCACCTCATAAGGAACATTCATGCCATGTTTGGTTTCATTCCATTCAGTGGTTCTCTAGAAGAAGTTCAAAATGTAAAAAGTTAACGCCGACGACGGACGACGACGGACGCCAAGTGATGAGAAAAGCTCACTTGGCCCTTCGGGCCAGGTGAGCTAAAAACAAATCCTTATTTACTGTGCAAAAAAATCATCAAAAACCTGTCAGCATTTCACTCATACCACATCTCCTTATTTTGTATTAATAGCAAATGTTTAAAAGCCAAAATTGCTCATGATGTTAAATTTGGAAAATAAAATTACTAATGTTAAACATATGACATGGTCTGGGTAATTTATTAACATTATTCCTACCAAATTCCAATACCCTAGACAAAAAGGGCTGTGCTCTTTAGGCACTAGGTTAAAATGATCTCCAAGATTTTGTTTTTAGTCTTTTAACAAGAGTGCACACGCTGAAATGTCTCGCCTTCTTTACTAATCATTGATACATGTATTATGTTGATAGTCCTAAATATAAAGCTTTATTACAACTGTCACATAAACTTAACATTAACCAAGTAAACTAAACATTGACCAATGAACCATGAAAATGAGGTCAAGGTCAGATGAACCATGCTAGGCAGGCATGTACAGCTAACAATTCTTCCATACAACAAATATAGTTGACCTATTGCTTATAGTTTAAGAAAAACAGACGAAAACACAAAAACTTAACACTGAGCAATGAACCTTGAAAATGAGGTCAAGGTCAAATAAAACCTGCGTAACTGACATATAGATCATAAAATATTTCCATACACCAAATATAGTTGAACTATTGCATATAGTATTAGAAAAAAAGACCAAAACTCAAAAACTTAACTTTGACCACTGAACCATGAAAATGAGGTCAAGGTAAGATGACACCTGCCAGCTAGACATGTACACCTTACAATCATTCCATACACCAAATATAGCTGACCTATTGCATGCAGTATTAGAAAGAAAGACCAAACCTCAAAAACTTAACTTTGACCACTGAACCATGAAAATGAGGTCAAGGTCAGATGACACCTGCCAGCTAGACATGTACACCTTACAATCATTCCATACACCAAATATAGTAGACCTATTGCATACAGTATAAGAAAAACAGACCAAAACACAAAAACTTAACTATAACCACTGAACCATGAAAATGAGGTCAAGGTCAGATGACACCTGCCAGTTGGACATGTACACCTTACAGTCCTTCCATACACCGAATATACTAGACCTATTGCTTATAGTATCTGAGATATGGACTTGACCACCAAAACTTAACCTTGTTCACTGATCCATGAAATGAGGTCGAGGTCAAGTGAAAACTGTCTGACGGGCATGAGGACCTTGCAAGGTACGCACATACCAAATATAGTTATCCTATTACTTATAATAAGAGAGAATTTAACATTACAAAAAATCTGAACTTTTTTTTCAAGTAGTCACTGAACCATGAAAATGAGGTCAAGGACATTGGACATGTGACTGACGGAAACTTCGTAACATGAGGCATCCATATACAAAGTATGAAGCATCCAGGTCTTCCATCTTCTAAAATATAAAGCTTTTAAGAAGTTAGCTAACGCCGCCGCCGCCGCCGCCGCCGGATCGCTATCCCTATGTCGAGCTTTCTGCGACAAAAGTCGCAGGCTCGACAAAAATTTGATCTGGAAAGTTCTTCTTATGCACATGATTAAATAATATCTGATCATTCTTTCTAAATCATAAACTCTTCCATTATATGAAATCTTTTCAAGAAACAATCATACAAATTGATACAATAGAGTCCAACTTAATATTTTTCTCATTCTGGCATATGTCAGCTGTATATGTCACAGACTCTGTGAGGTCAATTTAATGTTTTGTATAGAAACCGAATATATGTATGTTAGAGAACAATGACTTTTAAATATGTATCTATTAAACCTGATAGATTTTCACAGAATGCTATCAAAGTCAACAATGGGCCAAAGGGCAATAACTCTAGCTCAAATTATGTCAATGGAAAAATGTCAATATAGTTTATAAGTTATTTCCAGTACACCATGTTTAAATATACCACAGAAAAGTTCATTCAGTGTGTGAGGTTTTATTTTTCTCATACTGTTTTCAAAAAGTAAGACTGATATGTCTATTGGATATAATTCATCTAATTTTCATTATTATGATTACCAGAAAAGGTCTCAAACTTTAATCAGATTGTTACCCTTAAATGAAAATAATGTCACACCATTGATTGGATTTTCATTGTTTATGACATTGTTAGCCAATCACAACATTTTGGTGTATGTTTAAATGAAATACTACCCAGAATGCTTCATGTTGTGAACTTGCGAAATTCTGTTATAAAAATGAATGAACGAAAGTACAATCTACCGATGTACATTTTTCATTAGAGATAATTAGCTTTTAACGGTATATTTAAATGTGGTGTACATTTTTCATTAGAGATAATGAGCTTTGAACGGTATATTTAAATGTGGTGTACATTTTTTATTAGAGATAATGAGCTTTTAACGGTATATTTAAATGTGGTGGATTAGTTACAACAAATAAAGCATAACCTATAATACATCCAAAAGAATTATTTAAGTTTTATCATTTAGCGCATATGGACATTACAATGCAAAGGTTTGTCATTTAGTGCACATAGACATTACAATGCAGACATATTGATATTCAACTCCAAAGTAACCATGCATGATAGCCATGCTTACAACATGTACATTGGTCAGGACATCGGTCTACAGAACTGTTTAATGGAACTTCTTCCATTATAATTTTTCTTTTAAATATGACTTTGTGTACACTTACGGAGTTTCACCTACACAATCGAAATGTTTGGAATTATTTTAAACTTTGAAATTCAAGCTTTTTGGGTGGGATAGCATTTTTTTCCTCAAGACCCCCATTCATACAATTTTTCTTATTGTAGGAAAACTTGTTTTGAACCCCACTACCCCTATATTATTAATACTAGGTGTATTTCAACCCCCACCTCCATTTAATCAATTCTTGAATAGCTAACTAACATTAGAGAAAACAGGATTTATAAATTCTATTTCTTTTTATGTAAAAAAAAGAAAAACATGGAAATAAGTCATCTATTGTGATCTAGTAATCAGTTCTGTAAAGAGATGTTTTCGACCACAACCATGCTCCTTACCGTCAAATTTGTTTGGGCTACATCTATTTCCCACATGGTTATCATTTTCTGTATTAACAGATTGAGGAATCTGCCGTGGTTTTGGGGCTGAACAAAAATAGTAGATTTATAAACTGTATCATTTTTTTAACTGTATACTTTTAGATTTCAAAAGAGCAATCTAATTTAATTGTATTCATATTACACAATAAAACGTGTTATTTTACCACATCTCAATGTTCTCATCATTTAAATATGAATATCTGGGGTGTCAGATAGATTAATGTAATGAAAAACTACTTATTAACAGTTTTCTACAAATTCTTTTGTTATCTTAAGTAACCTAGGTTTTATCATTACCTCTTCTTGGTGAAGACTGTGACATACTTTGCCGCAAACCTGAAAATAAAGTTTTAAAAAATGTTATTTCAATTGCAGTTTTCATGGTTATAGTAAGTATGAAGACAGATCATATTTTTTAAAGCTTTTATTGGTGTAAAACGTCTTTGTGATGAAGCCCTATGTTGTTCCTGTATTTCAGTGACTATTTACCTTTTTTTGTAACTGTTGTTTTTTTCCCTTATAAGTATTATTGTACGGAGACATCATGTATCTGTTTAAACTATGATATATGTGTACAGTGATAGAAATATGATATCTGCTGTTGACTTGTGGCAAGCTTGATCTGAGTTTAAGTGTCTACTAGACAGACTAATTTCATCTATTTGCACTTATTAAAGGGTAAGTACATTTCATTGAGGACAAATCAATTGAAGAAGCTGTTTGCCCACTTGTTCCCTACAGCCTATTTCTACCCATGAATTTACATGTATTCCCTATCCAACAAATTATCAGCTAAGACTCAAATAATAATCACAGACTTACTCTCTTCTTGTAATTTAGCTAAATTTTCTATATCTGAAACATTTGGATGATTTTTACTGTCTGTACTGTCTGTTTCCTCTGGAAGCTTTGCAGGATCTGATGGCATATCATTTACTTGAGGTCTGGTTCGTTTAGGTCTGGTAAATGTTCCAGTATCAACGTTTTTGCCCATTCCAATATTACTCCCTAAAAATGATATCAATAACAATATTGCTCCAAATACAATTCAAATGCACATTAATAAAAATAATTTCTGATAACTGGTGTATCAAGACTTCAGATTACTGAAATAAAAATTATTTAAACAGGTAACATTTTATTTGTATGTTGACTTACTTTAATAACAGTAAAATCTGCTAGTGTTCATGGTGTTGAACATAAATGTATGTGGTAAATTTTAGCATGCATGACAAATGTTTCTGGGAATTAACCTTCATCATGTTCATCAAAAACTTTCATCAGGAAGCCTGGAGACTGAACTACTCTTTTTTCTTAGACATTGACCCCAAAAAAATACATTCTTGTGTATAAAAAAATCGTAGAATTGTAAATCAATCAGAGCTTAGACATAAGTGAGTCAGAATCTTTGAAGACTTGTGCAAGTCGGATTATGCATTTCCATGATTTCAACAATAAATTAATGGCATTTTCAGATTTACTATTTCAAAATATGCAAAAATCATTCAGGTCAGTATCTGTTCTGTGGAAATTTTCAGTATTTTTCTTTACTTTGATTGACTGGTGTTTGCTTTATGCCGCCTCAAGTAAATCAAAATCATATGTTACATTTTTCATAATTAATCACAAATACATATTTTTTATTGACAGAACATTTTCTTGTAGATACTCAAGTTTTACATAAAGGTACATTGCCCCAAAAGATAAGCTTGCTTGATCATTTTTTTACATGTAGAAGTCAAAATTTGAAATAGTTGTGATAAAAGGAAAAATTTGCATGAAATTTCATCTCACTTGTAATAGTAAATTTGTGGTAAATAAAAGAAGTGTGTGTCTGAGGACATGAATGCCCCCGCTCAAGCTTGCTTATAATATGTGAAAATAATTTTGGGTCTGATGGATGGAGGGCAGACAGACGGTCAAGGGTAACACTTAATGCCCTCTTCGCCAAGGGGCGGTGGCATAAAAACTAGAGGCTCTCAAGAGCCTGTGTCGCTCACCTGATTCTACTTTGGTTTTGGAAATCATGTAAAAATAGATTAAAATCATAACAGATACCCTAATAATGAGTGAGGCCAAATTTGGTTTAATATTGGTCCTGTAATTTAATAAAAAATCCTGGTGGCCATCTTGAACATAAATCGGCAACAAAGTAGCAACACTTAATCAGCACCTCATAAGAAACATTAATGCCATTATTTGGTTTCATTCCATTCAGTGCACCTCTAGAAGTAGCATTTCTATGTATTTCCCATAGGGTCTTATGTTAAAGGAAGTCCCCCCATTGGCGGCCATCATGGATGAAGGATCAGCTTCAAAGTAACAAAACTTAGTCAGCACCTCATAAGGAACATTCATGCCATGTTTGGTTTCAATCCATTCAGTATGTGGTTCTCTAAAAGAAGACATTTGTATGTATTGTCCATAGGGTCCAATGTTAAACATTGTCCCCATCTGGCAGCCATCATGGATGAAAGATCAGCTTCAAAGTAACAACACTTGGTCAGCACCTCAAAAGGAACATGCATGCCATGTTTGGTTTCATTCCATTCAATGGTTCTCTAAAAGAAAACATTTGTACGTATTTCTCATAGGGTCCTATCTTAAACTAAGTCCTCCGCTGGCGGCCATCTTAGATTATGGATCGGCTTCATAGTAACAACACTTGGTCAGCACCTCATAAGGAACATTAATGCCATGTTTGGTTTCATTGCATTCAGTGGTTCTCTAAAAGAAGACATTTGTATGTATTTCCAATAGGGTCCTATGTTAAACTAAGTCCCCCGCTGGCGGCCATCTTGGATGATGGATCAGCTTCAAAGTAACAACACTTGGTCAGCACCTCATAAGAAACATTCTTGCCATGTTTGGTTTCATTCCATTCAGTGGTTCTCTAAAAGAAGACGTTTGTATATATTTCCCATAGGGTCCCATGTTAAACTAAGTCCCCCGCTGGCAGCCATCTTGGATTATGGATCGGCTTCAAAGTAACTACATTCAGTCAGCACCTCATAAAGAACATTCATGCCATGTTTGGTTTCATTCCATTCAGTGGTTCTCTAAAAGAAGACATTTGTATGTATTTCTCATAGGGTCCCATGTTAAACTAAGTCCCCTGCTGGCGCCATCTTGGATTATGGATCGGCTTCAAAGTAACAACACTCAGTCAGCACCTCATAAGAAACATTCATGCCATGTTTGGTTTCATTCCATTCAGTGGTTCTCTAAAAGAAGACATTTGTATGTATTTCCCATAGGGTCCAATGTTAAACTTAGTCCCCTGCTGGCGGCCATCTTGGATTATGGATCGGCTTCATAGTAACAACACTTGGTCAGCACCTCATAAGGAACATTCATGCCATGTTTGGTTTCATTCCATTCAGTGGTTCTCTAAAAGAAGACATTTGTATGTATTTCCCATAGGGTCCCATGTTAAACTAAGTCCCCCGCTGGCGGCCATCTTGGATTATGGATCGGCTTCAAAGTAACAACACTCAGTCAGCACCTCATAAGGAACATTCATACCATGTTTGGTTTCATTCCATTCACTGGTTCTCTAAAAGAAGACATTTGTATGTATTTCCCATAGGGTCATATGTTAAACTAAGTCCCCCGCTGGAGGCCATCTTGGATTATGGATCGGCTTAAAAGTAACAACACTCGGTCAGCACCTCATAAGAAACATTCATGCCATGTTTGGTTTCATTCCATTCAGTGGTTCTCTCAAAGAAGACATTTGTATGTATTTCCCATAGGGTCCTATGTTAAACTAAGTCCCCAGCTGGCGGCCATCTTGGATGATGGATCCCCTACAGAGTAACAACACTTGGTCAGCACCTCATAAGGAACATCCATGCCATGTTTGGTTTCATTCCATTCAGTGGTTCTCTAGAAGAAGTTCAAAATGTAAAAAGTTAACGACGACGACGGACGCCAAGTGATGAGAAAAGCTCACTTGGCCCTGTGGGCCAGGTGAGCTAAAAATGATGGGAGGTAACTCTAGCTCATGACACCAAATACTCTGTTTTATGCCAGAGCTCTGACTGTAAATAGAAAGTAGCTGCCTAACACATCCGAAAAACAAAATCAAGGATGTTTGCAACTAGTTAAAAAAGTCCAAACATCATTGTCTCCCTTATTTCATCATGACTTGTCAAGATTTTTCAAGTTATGATCTCAGTACGCAACTGATTGGTAATAAAATTTTGAAAAAAAGTCTTTGTGACATGCCAATCCAAAACAGAAATTTTACTCACTTCAATATCATGAATAAAGTACATGTAACTGTGGAAATAGAACTTCTTTTCCCAACAGATATTATATTGTAGATTTTGGATTTGCCACTATTTTAAGGCGTAATTGCCAAATAAATTTTCTTAATGTTTGGTCAACTGTATAAAGTGGCATATGTGTGCTATATTATATCATGGACATTTACATAAAAATATTGTGTATTCTACAATGGACACGCAGCCATTGGCACTACAAATGAAAATGGCTTGGCCACCTTTACAAGTAGGGGGTAATCCTGAAGAAATAAGGAACTGCTCACCCTCCTGGAGCACCAGAGAATAAGAGTATACAGCAGGTTTTAGGTAGATATATATGGTGTTGCTTAGTTTTTGGATTTTATAAGTCGTATAAGTAGTGTTTTGTGGACTGTTGTTTGTCTGGTCATCTTTTCTTTTGACCATGGTGTTTTCTGTATTTTTTCGTTAATGGTATTTGATTCCCATTTAGTATCTACTCCCCCTTTTTGGTGTGCTGCATATGACACTATATTTACCATAAGTTGCCAATGATTTCCTGATGACAGGTTTATTATTATATACAGGTGTACTATCAGCAGAATGACTCATCTTCGTATAACTTTTTGGTGTACTGTAACTTCCAAATACTGGTGTACTACAACTCCTACTCACTGAAAAAGAAATTAGGTTGAAATTTAAACGCAAGGATAAGGTGTCAACGTATATTTGTTCCGCCTAACAGAAGATCCACTGGAAACTTTGTTATAAACAATGTCATAATATCTGTTCCTGTTGGAACAAATATTCTATACAATTTATTCTGTTAGGAACATTTACTGTAATATTTATTCCAGTGGAAATAATATTCCAGAATATTGTTTCCATTTGGAACTTATATTATGAAGGAACTTCTATTCCGTGACAGCATTTAATTAATACATGTAATATAGAAAAACAAAATGTACATTTCCAAGTACATAGGTGAACATAGGTTAATAAGCTACATCCTTGATGTGCCTGTCCCAAGTCAGGAGCATGTAGTGGTTGTCGTTAGTTCATGTCTGTCATATTTGTTTTCGTAAATTGTTTTGTTATAATTTAGACTGTTAGTCACGTTAGTTTTCTCGTTTGAACTGTTTTCACATTTTTATGTTTACACCTTTTACATGCAACTATACGGTATGGGTTTTTCTCATTGTTGAAGGCCATAGGCTGGCATATAATTGCTCACTACTACTTCATTTTAACTCTTGTGGTCGAGTTGTGGATAGTTGTCTCATTGGCAGTCATACCACATCTCATTTTTAAGCATGTACAACATCACTCTTGCTGGTACTTAGTGAATCATTGTGAAACATTGTGATTGTTGGTAACACTGCTACAGCTATATTGTATTGAATGTACAGACATATATTCAGAGTGAATAACACACATTTATCAGTTTTCAGTGAGAAATCACTGACAATAGTGATTTTTTTTTACTAAATCATCTTAGATCTAAAAAATCACAAAAGACAACTGACAAATTACAAATGTATTTTTTTTTATGTTACTGCATATTTTGATTTCTAATATAAAATAAAATGCTCCGCAGGGCGCAGCTTGATACGACCGCAGAGGTCGAACCCTGAACAGTTGGGGCAAGTATGGACACAACATTCAAGCTTGATACAGCTTTGCATTTGGATTGTGATTAAATATTTGATACAGCATAGGTTTCTGACACAGAATGAATGTGGTCTAAGAACTTAAAAATTTTAAATTGGACATTCACCTATTATGGTCCAATATCCAAAATCTAAATACATGGTTAGATTCAGCATATCAAAGAACCCCAAGAATTCAATTTTTGATGAAATCATACAAAGTTTAATTTTGGACCCTTTTGACCTCAATGTGGACAAAGTTGATAACGGGGCCCAAAAATCTAAATACATGGTTAGATTCAGCATATCAAAGAACCCCATATATTCAATTTTTGTTGAAATCAAACAAAGTTTAATTTTGGACCCCGATTTGGACCAACTTGAAAACTGGGCCCATAATCAAAAATCTAAATACATGTTTAGATTCAGCATATATATCAAAGAAACCTAAGAATTCAATTTTTGTTAAAATCAAACTAAGTTTAATTTTGGACCCTTTGGACCTTAATGTAGACCAATTTGAAAACGGAACCAAAAATTAAGAATCTAAATACATGGTTAGATTCGGCATATCAAAGAACCCCAAAAATTCAATTTTTGATGAAATCAAACAAAGTTTAATTTTGGACCCTTTGGACCTCAATATGGACCAATTTAAAAAACCGGGCCCAAAACCCAAAAACTAAATACACATTTAGATTCAGCATATTAAAGAACCCCAAGAATTCAAGAATAAAACCCAATTGAAATTGGTCAAGAAATAAGCAATTTATATATACAAAGTATCTTCTTTTGCACAATACTGTGCAATTAAATATTTCTTGCTAATGCGCAATACTGTACAATTGACAATTTCTTGCTATTGCGCAACATTGTGCTATTGGATATTTCTTGCTATTGCGCAATACTGTGCAATTGAAGATTTCTTGCTATTGCGCAATACTGTGCAATTGAAGATTTCTTGCTATTGCGCAATACTGTGCAATTGAAGATTTCTTGCTATTGTGCAATACTGTGCAATTGAAAATTTCTTGCTATTGCACAATACTTATTATATAATAATTTACACATCCTGTTTGGTGTGTATCTCCTACCATATCATTATTATTTGCTTTTAAATATAAATCAGAAATAACCAACTTAAAATGGAAAATTTTAAAAGAAAAAAAAAAAGGAAAAAAAGAAAAAAAAAATCCCCCCCCCAAATTTTTTGAACCCCCTTATGATTCATCACCCCCAAACTCAATCCCAGCCTTCCCTTTGTGGTATGGTACCTTGCAGTACAATTTCAGAGAGATCCATACACTTGAACACAAGTTATTGTCTGGAAACTAGAAAAATGTGTTTTTTGGCCCCTTTTTGGCCCCAAATTCCTAAACGTTAAGGGCAATTACCCCCAAACTCAAACCCAGCTTTCCCTTTGTGATATGGAACCTTGTAGTACAATTTCAGAAAGATCCATACACTTACACACAAGTTATTGTCCTGAAACTATAAAATGCTTGTTTTTTGCCCCTTTTTGGCCCCTAATTCCTAAAATATTGAAGCAATTACCCCCATCATCAATCCCAGCCTTCCCTTTGTGGTATGGTACCTTGCAGTACAATTTCAGAGAGATCCATACACTTGAACACAAGTTATTGTCTGGGAACTAGAAAAATGCTTATTTTTGGCCCCTTTTTGGCCCCCAATTTCTTAACGTTTCGGCAATTACCCCCAAACTCAATTCCAGCTTTCCCTTTGTGATTTGGAACCATGTAGTACAATTTCAGAAAGATCCATACACTTTCACACAAGTTATTGTCATGAAACTAGAAAAATGCTTGTTTTTTGCCCCTTTTTTGGCCCCCAATTCCTAAAATTTTGAGGCAATTACCCCCAAAATCAATCCCAGCATTCCTTTTGTGATATGGAACCTTGTGGTACAATGTCAGAGAGATCCATACACTAACACACAAGTTATGTCTGGAAGTTACAAAAATACTTATTTTTGGCCCCTAATTCCTTTACTGTTGGTACCATAACCCCCAAAATCAATCCCAACCTTCCTTTTGTGGTATTGAACCTTGTGGTAAAATTTCATAGAGATCCATTCACTTAAACTAAAGTTAGAGTGCGAAAACCAATGTGTCTTCGGACGACGACGACGCCAACGTCATACCAATATACGACACAAAAATTTTTTGCTGTCGTATAAAAATCCCAACTACACCCCTCTTTCTTTGACTGTGTTGACAATATCATGACGTTTTTTTTCAATTTCATTGATTTTTTAAAGATACCCTTTACCATTCATTGTTTTCAAACCTTTTTCACTATATTTGGAAAAATCTAAAAATGAAAAAAATAGTAAGATTATGTCAGCACGTGAAAAAAATGGTTTGAAAATATTAAAGAGAGCTACACGTTTAAAATAAATAATATTGCCATTAAATTTAGTTGCCAACATGGTATTAAATGTAATAATAAATATTTGTCTGTAGTTTCAAGGAGTTCTGACCTGGCAGTTGCAGACAATTACATGTATGCAACATTTTTCTTAGGTTAACATGATCAAAATGCATAAAATACTAAAACAAATAAATGTTGGATACTCAGTTTTCTATGACTATAATACATTGATACAATCTTACTTCTAGCAGCTTCATCAAGTTTGAAAACAAGGGATCTCTTCACAGATTCCACCTCAGGACTAGGGTGCTCAAATTCCTTTCTAACCCATTTGTATGGACTAACTCTGTTCTGTAAAGGCGTTGGAGGTTTTGGAGATGAGTATAACCTGTAAATAAATATATAATCATAACAAGAGTGAACACGCTGAAATGTCTCGCCTTCTTTACTAATCATTGATATTATGTTGATAGTCCTTAGTAAATATAAAGCTTTATTACAAATGTCACATACATGTAAACTTAACATTAACCAAGAAAACTAAACATTGACCAATGAACCATGAAAATGAGGTCAAGGTCAGATGAACCATGCCAGGCAGGCATGTACAGCTAACAATTCTTCCATACAACAAATTTAGATGACCTAGCGCTTATAGTTTAAGAAAAACAGACCAAAACACAAAAACTTAACACTGAGCAATGAACTGTGAAAATGAGGTCAAGGTCAAATAAAACCTGCGCGTCTGACATATAGATCATAAAATATTTCCATACACCAAATATAGTTGACCTATTGCATATATTAGAAAAAAAGACCAAAACTCAAAATCCTAACTTTGACAACTGAAATATGAAAATGAGTTCAAGGTCAAATGACACCTGCCAGCTAGACATGTACACCTTACAATCATTCCATACACCAAATATAGTAGACCTATTGCATACAGTATTAGAAAAACAGACCAAAACACAAAAACTTAACTATAACCACTGAACCATGAAAATGAGGTCAAGGTCAGATGACACCTGCCAGTTGGACATGTACACCTTACAGTCCTCCCATACACTGAATATACTTGACCTATTGCTTATAGTATCTGAGATATGGACTTGACCACCAAAACTTAACCTTGTTCACTGATCCATGAAATGAGGTCAAGGTCAAGTGAAAACTGTCTGACGGGCATGAGGACCTTGCAAGGTACGCACATACCAAATATAATTATCCTACTACTTATAATAAGAGAGAATTTAACATTACAAAAAATGTTAACTTTTTTTTCAAGTAGTCACTGAACCATGAAAATGAGGTCAAGGACATTGGACAAGTGACTGACCGAAACTTCGTAACATGAGGCATCCATATACAAATTATGAAGCATCCAGGTCTTCCACCTTCTAAATTATAAAGCTTTTAAGAAGTTACCTAACGCCGCCGCAGCCGTCAGATCACTATCCCTATGTCGAGCTTTCTGCGACAAAAGTCGCAGGCTCGACAAAAACAATGCTCTCAATAATTTTTAATAAGGTTGAGTACAATATTTTGGGGAAATAAAGCAAATTGAAAATAGCCTAAATTTGTATACTATGGAAATCTTCTCTGTACCCAATTTGCAAAGGCTAAGGAATATTTTCCTACCTGTACGTAAAGTATTGCCGTTCACAGCAAAAGTTTTAAGTTTTTCTTCAAGAATTCAAAGTAAGGACATGAAGGAGGCAGGATATGAATAAACATGATTAACAAAGAATGTTTAATTATAGGAACATTCGCAAGGGCATTTTATAAAGCTTTAGCACATTACCTTATTGGCCTTGCCCACTCCTGAATATAAAGGAATAATTAATCTACATTTTTTGTGTACATGTATATGTATGCAAATTACAGAAAAAATTTCATCAAAGAAAACATCAAAATCACTGACTTAAATACATGTAGGTGATTACTGAAACTTACAAATCACTAAAATAAGCATTTTAGTCATACCACTGACTGTTAAATGACCACTTTCATTAATAAGACCAAATAAAAGCTTTAGTTGTTAAGTAACATAAATATGTATGATACATGTTTATATATATATATACTGTATAACCATGATTATGCTAATTTATGATTCAAATTAAATTGTTAACATAAAATTGTAGCAAAATAAACAATCAAATAAAATTTGTATTTACACGTACATGTGTAGATAGTGATTTGTGTGAAATCTTCAGATTGACAAGTTTTAATTTGCAAAGTTTGCATTACAAATTGTCAATCTGAATTGGAAGATTTCACATAAATGCAAACACATACAAATTAGATATAAGAAGATGTGGTATGAGTGCCAATGAGACAACTCTCCATCCAAGTCACAATTTGTAAAAGTAAACCATTATAAGTCAAAGTATGGCCTTCAACACGGAGCCTTGGCTCACACCGAACAGCAAGCTATAAAGGCCCCAAAAAATGACTAGTGTATAACCATTCAAACAGGAAAACCAATGGTCTAATCTATATAAAAAAACAGAAACGAGAAACACTTATGAACCACATCAACAAACGACAACCACTGAACATCAGGTTCCTTATAAATGATCTTATACAACGATTACCAAATGTACACGTACATTAAGAACATTATGAGAGAAAGCGCTTCAGATGTTTAAATAATAGCACAGGAATAGGGAATGAAACTGTTATCAATGGTTATCAGTTGTTTGTTGATTAATAACATGATTTTCATTATGTTTTTCAGCAGTAAAGCTGAAATCTGTCAAATTTAATGAGACTCAAGAAGATACCTTATTTTTCATTTTTGTTTTTATTAACCAGTAAGATTTTTTTTTTACATACAATGTATATAATATACATGCATGTACATGTAATAACATACTGATTCTGTAATTGTCATATTAAAGAACCAACTTTTATAAATATGAATAATTACATAAACATGATAAATTTGTACACATTTAAAAGGTAAAACTGGAATTTCAAAACATCTACTTAAATTTTATAGTTTTAGAAAAGCTCTTTTTCTCTAATGTTCCTGTTTATTTTGATTGTACTTTTAATTTCTGCAAATGCATACCTCAACAATAACTTTTCCCCCATGGCCACTACATTGCAGTCTGCACCAAAATCTTTCCCCAACTATAAGTCTGAAGACCAATATTCCGACAATTTTCTTATGTGTCTAAACAAAGTTTTGCAAATACTTATTAGTCCGAAAAATTTTTACTAGTCTGGGGCATCGGACTAGTGGCTAATGGTGCAGACTGACATTGTATCTCAATCAGGCAATGTGATCAAAACTTTCTCGTCTAAATGTTTTAATTAGCCCCAAAAATAGTTTACATTTTCCTATTGGAGCACAACTGCACTGTTTACTGTATATATGCACGTTTTCCACAATGTTCTCTTGCATCGAGTATGTTAATAGTCAACGGTACGATAATACTTCCCTGGGATGACTGTACTTTACTGGAAGAAGAAGAAATCTCCATAAAGGAACGTTCATCAGGATAAAACCCTGGGCTACATGTACACAATCAAAATTATGTCATTCCTTAATTTAGTTGTACAGAACAGGATATACAATGTATGTTATGATTATTATTGTTTCCACAGAGATGGGGCCTAAAATAAACAAGGTTTAACAAGTGAAACTGCGAGCTACTGCTCACTGATGAAACCCCCGCCACAACTGGATAATTTTAATAGTGTAAAAATATGTAAGTGTTCGGTAAACAGGAAGTTGTTGAGTGATGAATCTGAAAACGCATTACACGGTATAGCTGACCAAGTTTCAGAAATCCTTATGATGTAGTTCCTGAGAAAGATGCGACGAAAAATATTCATGGGACGGATGGACGGACAGACAGAGGTAAAACAGTATACCCCCACTTTTTTAAAGAGGGGGTATAATAAATAAACTGTTAACACAGAGATATGTCTCTCCTTTCTGTACTTTTGATTATGCAAATGTTGAAATTTTTAAAAATAGCAATACTTTAACATGTTTAACATATAAGTTATGCAAATATTCAAAGTCAATGAACCATGACTGCAGGTACATGGCAAAACAATCTCCATGGAAATGACTGCAGTGTTCTCCCCATGGCCTTTTAGCATCATGGTAATGTGATGCTATCTGAAGTGGTTTTCGTATAGATTATGTTATGAATGTGATGCTATCTGAATTGGTTTTCTTATAGATTATGTTATGGATGTGATGCTATAATTTTTAGAAACAAGATGGTATTTCAATTTCCCCTGTTTACCAGGATGCTAAATGAAATATCTGGGGAGAACACTGAATGAGATGTGCCAATGCTAACACAACTGCATACCAAATACCATAGACTTAATATCATAAGTCGTTCCCTTTCAACAAACCTAAACACAAACATTGACTTGTAAACATGGTAAACTATGTAAAAGTTTCAAAATCAATGAACCATGATGAGGGGGTGGGGCTATATAATCTCCATGGAAACGAGACTTGCAAATGCCAATAAATTTGCATACCAAATATCATTGACTTAACATTAGCGGTTCATCTTAAACCGATCTAATCACAAACTACAAATGAACTAATACATGTAAACTAAGCAAAAGTTTCAAAATCAATAGACCATGACTTAGGGGGCGGGACCAAATATTCTCCATGGAAATGAGATGTGCTAATGCTTATACAATTGCATACCAATTAACATTGGCCTACAATGTTCCCGCCTGCCCTAAATAGAAGGGTGGCCCGCCCTTTGTGCCCTTACCCCGCCCTTCTGCCCTCCAAAGCAAAAAAAATGCACCCCTCTGCCTTTTCAAAATTTCATGCCTATCGTCGTTTCTGTTAAAATTGTATGTTACTTGATTGTGCAACACTCTAATTAACTGACAATAGGATACAGTTAAATACCTTGCCTTTGGCAGTTTTATCACCTCTGTTAATGATTGTTTACTGCTAATTAGGGGATTTAAGATAATTGAACAAATACTAGATATTTAATACAGAATGAAAATGTCCACATGTTATACATTTGTAATGTTTATGTACAGCATGTACACCTGAAAAACTTTATTTCAGTAGGCATAACATAAAAATAAAATGTTAAACAATTTTAAAGGCATATATTTGATATATAGTTTTGACTAAATTGGTAAAAAAAGTTTTGTTTCATAACCCTGAGTAAGAAATTTTGAACATATATACAAGATTGCACCACTTCCTGTTTTACTTCTTGCATTTATAATCCTCCTTATATAGGAGCACTTAATAAATGCTTTTATTTTTAACAATTATGGAGAAAAAGTAAATGGTAATACCTTCTGCAATATGTATGCAATCTATTATTGCATCAATATAATATTATCATCTCCTGTTTCACCTGTTATATTTATAAAACTCCTTACATTGTACTTAGGAGCACTTTGGTGTGCACTTAAGATCACTTAAAAAAATACTTTTTTGTAACAATTTAAATGAGAATAAGCAACTTTCAATAACATATACTTTATAATGTTTGAACAAGTAATTTAAATGTAGATAATTTTATTGGATCAAAAACTAAATTTTGCATATATACATGTACCTCCATCTTTCAAAACCACTTGTTTTTTTATAGACTGGTATCAGTACTAGACTTATAAAACATTGAAATTTCTGATGATTATTTTCCTTACCAAATGTACAAGTTTGTTAAGATTAAAATCAAAATGATATGCTTTGCTTCATGGTTTGATAATTTGATTCTTACTGGAACCAACATCAAGAACACAATAATTTCTAAATATGGTTGAAATACAACTAATATTCTCCAGCTGAGCCTAGCAATACTCAAGGAAATTTATACACTGTCCAACAGTGCCCTTGCAATCTTGGTTATTGCGCTAAAGTGCCCTTTCTGACAACTAGGCTGAGTGAACTACATTTGTAGCACCCTTCTGCCCTGAGATTCAAGCTGGAACACTGGCCTACCACTAATAGTTCCCCTTGAACTGACCTAATCACAAACTAATACATGTAAACTAAGCAAAAGTTTCAAAGTCAATAAACCATCACTGCAGGGGCGGGACCAAATATTCTCCTGGAAATGAGATATGCCAATGCTTATACAACTGCATACAAAATATCATTGACTTACCGCTAGTGGTTCCCCTTGAACTGACCTAATCACAAACTAATACATGTAAACTAAGCAAAAGTTTTAAAGTCAATAGACCATGACTGAGGGGGCAGAGCCAGATAATCTCCATGGAAATGAGATATGCCAATGCTTATACAACTGCATACCAAATATCATTGACTTACCACTAGTGGTTCCCCATAAAATAACCTAATCACAAACTAATACATGTAAACTAAGCAAAAGTTTCAAAGTCAATAAACCATCACTGCAGGGGCGGGACCAAATATTCTCCTGGAAATGAGATATGCCAATGCTTATACAACTGCATACAAAATATCATTGACTTACCGCTAGTGGTTCCCCTTGAACTGACCTAATCACAAACTAATACATGTAAACTAAGCAAAAGTTTTAAAGTCAATAGACCATGACTGAGGGGGCAGAGCCAGATAATCTCCATGGAAATGAGATATGCCAATGCTTATACAACTGCATACCAAATATCATTGACTTACCACTAGTGGTTCCCCATAAAATAACCTAATCACAAACTAATACATGTAAACTGGGAACAGTATATCTAACGGGAAATGAATCGGATAGGCTTTCCAGTATAAAATTGATAAAATCTCGGACTCCTCGAGACTTCGCAAGATTTATGGATTTTGGTGGCGTCTGACTGAAAATTTATCGGAACTGCTCAATAAAGTAATCACATAATTCTAATCGTAAATAAATACAAGTTTTATCATAAAGTAGATATATTTTGTCATATAAAATGACCAAAATAAGTGTGATTTATTTGATGTGAAGTGTTTTATAATGTTTTTGAATTTGGGAATACAATCGGCGCCATTTTTTAAATACCGTTTGCATTCTGTACCATTCTGTGATAAAATGAATGCAATTATAACAAACTTGAAGTGACAGAATACAAGTTTGATACAACTGTAAAACTAGTTTGAATGACATTTTATTGATATTATCAGAAATTATTAGGATAATAGCGAGTACGTTTTTGAAACATGTCCGTTTCCATATCGTATCTTTATTACCTATGACACGACGATAAAATTGGCTACAATTAGGTAGTGTCAAGTCCCGTCAATATATATGTTCCTGATGTAAACTAAGCAAAAGTTTCAAAGTCAATAGACCATGACTGAGGGGCAGGGCCAAATATCTCCATGGAAATGAGATGTGCCAGTGCTAATACAACTGCATACCAAATATCATTGACCAACCACTAGAATAGTGGTTCACCTTAAATTCATTGTTGAAGCCGCCGCCGGAAACCGCATACCCATGATACCTATGTCTCGCTTTTTGACTCCATCAAGGCGAGACAAAAAAGTATGAGATGTTCCACTCATGAATGTAATAATTGTAGTGAATTTACTGAATGATATTAACAGACAGGGTCACTTAATATCAATAGATATCTGCACAATATTAGGTTATTATTATGTTAGTGGGGAGAGTTGGTAGGCCTTAATTTATTCAGCATGCAGGATTAAACTTTTCACATGTGGGTCAAATAAGTGCCTCCTAATACAGCAGGATTAAACCCCTTTTCATTAGTCATGTACGTGTTATAAGTGGGATGGATGGCAGGCCTTAATTCAGACGGATTTAACTCCTTTGCTTCTTCTTCTTCCATTAATTTGCATTCCACCTCTGGTGTATTATCGCAAATGACTATTTACATGCCCAAAGGAAACATCTTTCAAAAAAACTATGTACACAAATCCGGTTAAAAGACATCATGGTGTTATATAATTATATACAATTAAAACTGAAGTGTCTATCATGAAGCAAGTGTCTGGAGGCTGTCTTTGAATTCTTCCAATGTTGAAGCTGTGACGACAGCAGATGGAAGTTCATTCCATAGACGATTGCAGATCGGCATGATTAGTGAGGCGAGTTAGCAGGCCTTAATTCAGGGGAATTAAACTCTTTTTCATTAGTGGGCTGAGTTGGTAGATAGTGGGGCAAGTTGCTGGATAAAAGGGGCGATATGGCAGTAGGGCAAGTTGCTGGATATAAGGGGTGATATGGCAGTAGGGTGAGTTGTCCTGCTGAAATCAATAATAACACAATCTAAGATTTTATCCTTACCAACTGTCTTCTTCATCTTTCATTGAAAGATTTTCGATATCGACCAATTCAGAATCATCTCCTGATTCGGCAGGTTGGTTCTTGAGATTTAAAGTGTCGGGAATATTGTTATTGTGATGCAAAGTCAACTTTCCGTGTTCAATTTCACCGTTCTGTACATTTTCTGAATTGTTTTTTTGTCTAGAACGAAGCACTTCATTTTGCTTTTCAAGCTTTTTGACTAGATCTTGGAGTTTGCGAACTTCAGCTTCTGGGTCTATCAAAGAATCTCCGCTATCCATGGTACTTGGACATTAGTTTTATAGTCAAATGACTCTGTAAAATACCAAATTTAACACAGTTGGGACACACTTTATATATTGGTAGCCATTTTGTGTTTAGTTTGAGAACGCATGCGCAAACGATAACTTCCTTTACATTTCCACTCTTAGATTGCCGTGCGATCACTAGATTCATTATGAATCATTGACAGGTGCGCAATCCTTTGATCCCTTGATTAATGTTAATTATCGATTAGAAAATATCCGATTAGGATTTAATTGTCGTCCCCAAGTATTACTTTATAAACCGACCTATAGCCTTAAAATTTAGAAGCTATATAGTAACTGTGACAAATAGACACAAACTCAATGACCAAATTAAAAAAGGCAATACATTCATGAGGGGGCGGACAGGGTAAAGGGAGACAGGGAGAGGGGGGTGGGAGAAAGGAGAGAGGGGGCGGGAGAAAGGAGAGAGGGGGCAGGAGAAAGGAGAGAAGGGGCAGGAGAAAGGAGAAAAGGGGCAGGAGAAAGGAGAAAAGGGGTAGAAAAAGGAGACAAAAATATGTATGAAAATTATTAAAATTTAGCTGGAAAACAACAATCTTATTAAATTAGTCAATAAAAAGCTTCAAGAAAGTGCTAATAAAAAGTAAAATAACAAAAATACCGAACTCCGAGGAAAATTTAAAACGGAAAGTCCGAAATCAAATGGCAAAATCAAAAGCTCAAACACATCAAACGAATGGATAACAACTGTCATATTCCTGACTTGATACAGACATTTTCTATGTAAAAAATGGTGGATTAAACCTGGATTTATAGCTAGCCAAACCTCTCACTGGTATGACAGTCGCATAAAATTTCATAAAATGTCATAGTAATGAAATCGATCTCATAAATACTCCGAGCGTCGTCACTAATTCATTACGATCTCTCATATACGGAGAAAGACTAAAAACTAACAATTTCCAGGATTTTATAGTGAGTCCGTGCAAGTATAGAGACACATGTCACTATCCTTGTTTTTTAGTTAAATTGCTTCAAAGTTGACCGATATGCATAGAATTTGGCAGATAAATGATGACGTTACTGAATATAGAGTAAAGTTATTTTTACTCAGAGGTATTGAAAAAATATGTAACGGGATCTGAATTGTGTTTGTTATTTTGTTTTCACTCCCCTGTCTGGTTTCGTAAATTTCCTATTAAGTCTACTGATTTAATTTTATTTCGAACTAACTGGGTGCACATTCAGCTTAGAAAAAAATATCTTCAACTTAATCCTACCAAACTAGACAAAGATAATGCCACTGCTACTTCCATGCATGGATAAAGTGCTTCAAAAATACAAGTACAATTTGAATTGATTGATTTGAGGTTGCAAAATGTCAGGTGGCAAATATTTCAGGCATGTTCAGGACGATACAATACAATTTGAAATAGTTGTGTCTAAAAGACACATTTTTACTGCAGCCATCAAAAAGGTTACTAATAAAAACATTCCGTCACTTGTAAAAGTGATATATAAAATAATACATATTTTTAAGATAGTATATACTCCGTATGATTTAAACGTGTGGGTTGTTAATTTGTGTGCGAACAAACCTTGCAAACTGTATTTCAAAAATACATTTGAAAAGACAAAGTTCAACATTCTGTCATTCGAGAAAAATTATACAATAAAAAAATCCTGAGAATATATATGCATCCTCTATAAGTAAAACAATCGGCGCATTATAAAAGTTTCACCTTGAAATTGTACACTGTAGGAGTATGTCGAACTATGTGCTCTGCGTGCCTTTATATATTTTCAAAATGCCAAATTCATAATTAATTAGCAACCTGTCATTTAAAAAAAAATACTGACAATATGCACACTGGTACATAATGTAAAGTTGAAGCTAAAAAAATATAGCACTAAGAAATAAATTGTATAAACCCTTAGCTATATACCAAGTGAGCGACGAGCGGTCAAATTTACACAGGTAAAACAGTATGCTCCCGGCATTTTGCCGAGGGACCAAAATATATATTAAGCGTATATGATTGTGTTCTATTTTACAAGGCATTTGGTGACAAAATATATTTTTGAATAAGCAGTTCATAGTGGAATGTAATTGGGAAATCTCAATTGTACATCATGTCCAATTCAAAAAACAAAACACACCCATCCTTGTACACCCAAGTGTAAATTAACATGAATCTAAATCAAAATGATGTTAAAATGTCAGTTTTTTTTCAGTTTGTTTCTGTCGTTTTAAGAAATATAGGTAAACAAACATATCTCTTTAAATTTTTTTTTGCGTTCGGAGCGCTTTTATGGGATTACCTTCATCAAAGCACCGCGGTTATTCATTTATTGTTGGCCACTGTTTTTTTTAATGAATCGTGTGATTGTAAATTTAGAGAAATAATTTGTTATGAAATACGGAATTGAAAGAAAAATATGTAGCGGGATCTGAATGAACTAATTTTATTTCATCCCAACGGGTGCACATTAAGTGTTGACATCCCAAAATGTGAAGCCTTTGTTAACTTTTTCCTCATTCCGATGTTGCTGTCCCGTGTAAACTGCGCTTATACGATTACAATGGTGGCAATTTATTTTTTACAAGCTTCCGCAACCATATTTTCTGTACAGCCCTATAATATTCAGAAACTGGTTACACTTGGAACATAGGGAAAGATGTGCGGCAAAATAATCAAGTTCAAAGAAAATTCAATTATTCTTGTCTCTTAATTCCATTCCAACAAACCATTTTCTGCCTGATTTTCCGCGGCTGCTTGAACTATGCATTTTCGCCAAATTATATCCCATATTCTTTTCCAAATGAATTTTATTTTTCTATTTTGCAAGCAGCGTTTTTCGGCAACCATTTTAAAACGAATGAGTTTCTTAACGAAATTGCACCAATAGTGGCACAAAAATTCCCCGTATTTTCACACATTATCCTGCGTTTCTATAATTTGGATTTATACTTAAAAAAATCATCGGGAAATGGCGTGCATCAGACTTACAAATTCAATGCAAACAGACAGCTTAAAATTATATAAGGGGACGACCATTTGATATTCTGGGGGGGGCCAGGAGGATTTTGAAAATAAATAACTCAGCCTTGATAATCACAAAAATAAATGGTTTGTTCTGTGGTAGTTTGAAAATAAATTACCTGACTTGCAATGTATTGAAAATAAATAACTCAGCAGGTCTAATCGAAAGTATGAGATGGCACCAGATTCTTCATAAATTCATCTTTTTTCCCAAAAAAAAGTCGGGAAACACTTCCCATATCTTTTAATAATAAAAGTATAAATATTATTTAAATATACTTGAAATGTCAGAAAATTGGTTTCATTTAACATGAGGTTAATTGTCTCAGGAACACTTACCTCACTTTTATTAAATCAGGGCCGTAACTACATTGAGACAAATGCCTCATGCATGTAGGAAATTTCAAAACCAAAAGATTGTCTCCATATCAAATTGTGTTCACCGTGAGTGCCTTGCAAGAAGCAAGTTCTGTTCTCCCTCAGACGTAGCCCCTGATTTTTCGGGATTAATGTTTCTTATTTATTTGTCTTTTGTTCATTGATTGCCCTTCTGTATTCTGTTAGTGTTGCATTCATTTTGTAATTTAGTAATTTTATTATTAACTTGGTCATGAGTTTAAAAAAACACAGCAGCCACAGACTTAACTATGTGAATTACATTTTTGCTTTATCATGCATATTTGTCTTTTGATGTTGTTCCTAGAAACTTAAGTCTTACACTGAATCTATAACGTGATTTTGCTTTGAGACCAAAATATTGTCATAAGATTATTAAAACAGAACTTGCATTTTCAGTTTAAGAAAGGGTCTGGGGAACACCCAGAAGGCATGATTTTGCATCATTTGTTCTATAGCTTCTTGGGCCTTCAGCAGTTCAAAAACCCTTCAAAAAAAATTTTGCCTCGCTCCGCTCGGCGAAACATGTTTGCCAATACTTTTAAAAGAGCCTTAGTTACAACCAAACTTTAATACTGTGTATGTATGCAATACATGTATATGCATTGGGGGATATAGAAGATTCATTTCTGCAGAGGATAATAATTAATTCTGATTAAATGGTACATAATGACTTGACTATACATGAATTATTTATAATAAACAAATAATTTAAAAATTGTATGTTTTCGAATATTATAAATATAGTTGTGAAAATAAATAATCAGTCCCTTGCTTTAATGAAAATGAAAAATCTTGCTTCAATAGTGCAGAAAATAGATAAACTGTCCTCTTAGTTTACAAAAATAAATAACCGATCCAAAACAAATCCTCCTGGCCCCCCCCAGAATATCAAATGGTCATCCCCTAAGTCAATGAAAAAGTTATTGAGGTTCTTGAAGTAGAAGAAACAACACTTCTATCTTGTGAAAGGATAAGACAGGGACGAGCCATAAAAAACAAGACATTTGATCGATTTCTTTTAAAATGAGCTTCCTATACATTAGTTGTTCATGTTTTAGGGCGGGAGTCAAGAGAAATGGGGCGGGAGAAAGGAGAAGAGGGGTGGGAGAAAGGAGAAAGGGGGCGGGAGAAAGGGAGAAAGATACCCCCCTGTCCGCCCCCTCATTCATGTCAAGCACCAAATAAATCATCAGAGACTTTCATAAATCTGCCATCAAAGGGAGATAAGACAAAGACCTCAAAACTGAATTGTACATTTCAACAATTTATCCAAGGGACTGTGGCGATCTTCCAATGTCACGTAAGCAATTAGGAGTCTACACGATTTACCCTATCTCAAATTACTCTGTCGACGTTTACTCAATACTGTGAAATGACCATTTCTGACGATGGATGGACGGCAAGTATTATTTAAATGGAAATAAAATATATGCTTTATAAACTGTCATTTTGATTTTAATCTCTGATGGATATTTGTCTTGTTGCCAATAATACCACGCCTTCGTATTATATTATAAATCTTTTAAGCAACTTGAAGTTCAGGGGCGGATGTAGCCATTTATAAAAGGGGGGTCCTAACCCAGGATAAACGGGGGTGGGGGGGGGGGGGGTGTGTGGGTCCAACCATATGTCCCCATTCAAATGCATTGATCAACAAAAAAGGGGGGTTCCAACCCCCGGACCCC